AAAAAAAAAAAAAAAAAAAAAAGGAAATCCAGATAATTTGGGGTTGGTGATTTATTTCTTGCCCCAAATTCTAGACTTATTTTCAATCGTTACTTTCAGCAATCCCCAGCCTCCATCTATCAGTTTTCACCTTATCATCTTTTAATTCCACTTTAGGAGATCATTTTGCTTAGCTTATATAAAACTTAAAAACTCTTAACAAAGTCAGATCCATTTTCCTTGTGTTAGTAGGTGATTTTAGTTTAAAATGCACAATCTCAAATCACAAACATGCTTCCAAGTTGCCAGCATTTACATTCTCAGCAGTTTTTAAGGGTAGGAAACTTGTGTTTCCTGAATGAAGCTCTCTTTCATCAAACATGCAGTAATTTCTAAAACTCTATTTATTGCCATTGTCCTCAAGGTTATATGCCAATTTGAGTGCTTGGTGGCATTTTGCTTCAGGTATACATTTTTCCAATAACCTGAAACCTTTCCTACAGTCATGTGTGCCTGCACAGTTTAAGGACAAGGAGAGATCGTTACAGTTCAATCACTGAATTCCATCATTAACTGCATTTCATGTCACACTTTTAAAGAATTCAATTTAATGGTAGAAAGCCACTGGGTAAAACCTGCTCCCCTTCCCTTAATTAACAGATCTGTGGGGTGGTTCTCTCCCATCCTACCCCCCGCCCTTTCAAATATAGATTTGTTTTCAAGGGATTGCTGCAGAAAAGGAACGCTGTTGGGGAACACTTAATTGACATTTCCAGACAAGGAATGTATTACCACTCCTGCATTTTGGCCAACTTTCAATTATTCAGGGATGGTCATATTTGAAGTTACTTGCACTTCTCTTAATTGTTTTTCTTTCTTTTCCCCTTTTTGGCTGCCTGTTTCACTGCCCTTCAGCATTTCCACTGAAATGATGTAAAAATCAATCTGTGAAAGGAATGCAGTTCCTTGAAAGTAACCCTGGTAAAGCCTGAGTAGTTAAGACCGAAAAAATGGCTAACCTGAGGGTTCTACATTTAAAATATCATAATCCTGTACATGCCTTCTGTGTGGCACTTTCATTGCAAAGTTTTTCCACAAGCATTTTCTTATTTTCTTGCAGAATTTAATTAATCACATGACTTCTATCCCCAGATCAAAAATAACTGTTGCTTGTTGGTACATATACCAGTCCACAAACATGTGAATTTTTACAAATACTTGGTAGTTTTCATTTATAATGAAGTATTGTTTTTATGGCCCTTTAGAGATTATAAAGTGCGTTCATAATTGTTTTGTCTCATTTAATTTTCACAGTTCTTCTCTGAATTTTATTCACCTGATAGGGAAACTGAGGCCTAGAAAGAAGTGTCATGCCCAATGTCTTACAATTGGTAGGGGACAGATCAAGGCCTCCTATTTGAGTGCTCTCCAAGCCCAGCCTGCTCCCAGATACATCCTGTTGGCCTCCCATATCCTAGTTCCCCAATCGGCATCCAGCTTCTCCTTTCCCTCCACCCTGCCCAGCATTGTAGGCTAGGAGTGATTATTGTGGGAGAACATTTGTGGGTTTGCAAATGCCTGAGATAGTGGCCAGGGGAGTGGGGAGAGTGGCACAAATTTCTGAAGAAGTCTGGGAGTCAGTAGCAAAGGTAGAGCAGCAAGAGAGCATGGCCTCTTCCCCTGAGTGGTATAAAGGCCACGGAACTGAAGAGTCAGGAGAAACCAGCTGGAACTGTCCCACATGCTGATAAATCAGTTTACAGGCTACACAAAGCTTCACCTCTCTAGGCTTCAGCTTCCTCATGGGTAAAATATGGGGGAGGCTGAAGACCCTCCTACTATAAAATTCCCCTTTGGGTCTATGAGATCATGAAGTGCTCCCACACCTGGCACTGAGTGTGGCACAGAGGTAGAGTGGATGGGGGAGACCCCAGCTTCCATCTTCTGTGAAGGCAGCTGTCCCAAGCTGCATCTAGTCAGTGGCCTATTCTGCAGCTGCAGAGGTGTGGAGCCCATGTGCACTTTGGGGTCACGCAAACATGAGCCGGCGCCCTGCCTCTCTCTCACTGCCTGAGTGTGTGTCCTGGGCAGTTGAATAATCTCTCCGCGTCTCCATCTCCTCATCTATGACACAAGGATAATCAAGATCTACCTTCAAGACACTTAAGAAAAATAGCTACTAAGTGGCCAGAATGCACAGTCAGGTCTGTCTGATTCAACTACCTCTTCCTATGAGCTAGGGTCTGGCCCACAGACCCCCTCTCTTCAGGATGGACAGGCGAGATGTGCAAGGAGGTTTCTGCACTTTTGAGGTCCCAGATCCCTTTGAGAATGTGCTGAAAGCTCTCCCCAGAAAAGGGATCACAAGGTAATGCCAAGTCAGGAAGCTGGCCGCGCCTCACCTCCGCCTGGGGCGGCCTCCCGCACGTGGCCTTCAGGTCAAGCCGCCCCGAGCAAGCGCGCGTGAAGGCGCTAGGCTACAGGGACCGAACGCCGCGGTCACCCCTTACACCCGGAGGGACCCGCGTAGGGGCTCCCCCCGGAGCGGGCGGCCGCGGAGGGAGGGGCGCGCTCACCTTGAAGAAGCCCTTGCAGCCCTCGCAGGTGCGGACGCCGTAGTGCTGGCAGGCGGCGTTGTCCCCGCACACGGCGCACGTGCCCTCGCCCGAGGACGAGCTCCTGATGGGCGGCGACGGCAGGCTGGGGCTCTCGCCCAGCAGGCTGCACGCAGCGGGCGAGCCCGTGGGGCCGAGCGGGAAGGCCAGCGCGGCTGTCCTCTT